AGGAAGGAAGGAAGGAAGGGAGGAAGGAAGGAAGGAATGCTTCCTTCCCTCTGCATGCATAGAGATTCCAATCAGTGACTTACCCTCAAATATAAATAAACTTTTCAGTAAAACCTCTATCACAAAAGAAAAACAAATAGAAAAGGTGGGGAGAAAACAGAGACAAGGCATAGAGAAGAACAATACCTCCAAAAAAATATGATTAATAGCTTCAGAAATATGCCATCAAGAAGAGAATGCTCTTTAGAAAAAAGAAAAATTAATTGGAAAACTCTTGGAGATTAAAAATTAAGTTAGATCATCCTAAAATAAAATTTTGAATTAAGTTTAGAAGATACATTTAGGGAATTTTCTCAGTAAGAATAAGAAAAAGCTAAAACTGAAAAGAAAATGTAAAAAAAAAAAAGAGAGAGAGAGAGTGAGTCAATTCAGCCGATCTAACATAAAGAGTTCTAGATGGAGGGAACAAAGAAAATGGAGTGACCGATAAGAGGGCCCACTGAGTACCCAGATAATAAGCTCAAACATATCCTCTCTAAGGCACACTCTAATGTAATTTCAGAACACTGGGGAAAATGGAAGAGGAAAGAGGAAAATAAAGAAGAAAAAAGGTCACATAGAAAGGATCAGGAGTCAGAACAGCACATGAACTTCTCATCAACAGCGGCACAAAGCCTTTATATTTTTGAAAGGAAACAACTGGCAATCTATAATTCTACATCTGGACAAATGATAAAGTTAAAGTGGGATTAGATTAAAAACTGTTTAAGTAAAAGGTTCAAATTTATTTCCCAGCATTTTTTCTCAGAAAGCTAAGAGAGGATGCGCTCCACTAAAATGAAGGAAGAAACCAAGAACTGTGAGGATGGCATGGGATCCAACATGGGAAAGAGGTCAAAGGAATTCCTAGGATAATGGTAAAGGGAAGTCCCAGGATGACAGCTGTGTAGCAGGAAGCCTAAATAATAGATTCTCTGATGTGTTCGTCTGTATTGATAGGAAATATATAGTTCTATAAGAGTATGGAAGAACTAATGGTTTGTACATAGAATATTAAACGAATTCAAAAGGTGGAAGGACAATTATTAATAAATCCAAGAAAAACTGAAAAGCCACGCAGGAGAGAAATATAGCGTATCACTTGGCTCAGCTCTGAACATAAATTACCTAATCATAAAAAATACAAACACTAAGTATTAATTGAATAAAACATTATAACTCTACTGGGAGTACGGAATCGAGTGAGGAAAGGAATATGAGTGGGGGCAGGGGTGGTATGAGTGCTAAATTCTCAATCTGCACTTTACAAGGTAACAGGTTATGTCTCAAACTGCTTAATCAAAGAGAAGAAGGATAAGCAAACAATTTAAACACATGGAAGTAAATACCAGCAGAGCAACTGAAAGAGTTGAAAGTATCGGGGTGATGGTATTTGAGGGTAAGTTAGATAAAGAGATGACCACCATTTTCCCTATAAGTTTTACAGTCCTATTTGACATTTCAAATTATGGACGTGAATTACCTTACTAAAAATAAAAATTAGAAGGAAGAAAAATTAATCCTCTCCACTTTCTTAAGCTCATTCATCTCTTAGTGACAGCAGGTCTTGTTAATAGACCACTGCAACCTCAGCCCTGCCCATGCCTCTACTCTGGAATACTCTTTTAATACCTAGGTTCTAAGAAAAATCATTTGTCTCCTATGAAAGCTGAATAACAAAAGAAAACCTCTTTTTACCCTTCCTGACAGAGTACATCATTATGAAATTAGCATTTTAAAATCAAACTTAGGATTAAAGATAAAAGTAGTAAAACAAGAACTCCTATAACTTGTGCTTATATAAAATTATTTATACCTTCTTATTTTTATCCAGTGATTATCTAATTACAGATACCAGAGTTAATTCCTTTTGTTTAATTTTTAAAAATCAAAAAAAATTTGATAAATTATAATAAGAATTTTTTTTAACCCAAAAACCATGAAGCAGGGCCACTGCATGAGACTGTGCATCTTGTGCTCTGCAGAGGAAGTGAGGATAGGGCTACGTATGATTCAGCTGCTCACCAAGCCGAGACACCCATGTTGCTACCCACATTTCCTTTCCTGGAGAAAAGGGCACTATTTCTCACTGGCCTACCCAGAGAGGACCCTTGTTACAAATGAACCAATCAAAGGATACCTTTTATCTAATTCACAAAATATGCCGTATATCCCACCTGTACCTCTGATTAACTGTCTTTCTAAAAAAGGCTCTATTTTAATCTTTTGATCTATTTGCACTTGGACAAAACTATAAGTCTATGAGTAGTGGTCAAATCTACATGATCATGACCTACATTTACAGATTGATGTCCCCACAACAAATATCTGGTTGCTTACCAGGAATGTGTTTCCACAGTGCCCACATACGACTCTTGTACCTTCTGGCTGGATTGGCAATGCAGGTTGAACTGGTTGTTCTTCAGAAACAAGCATTACTGGGCCAAGGTTAATTATGCGTCTACTGTGGAAAGAGAAAGGAAAGAACTTCACTACCCCACAAATGGACGGAGGGCAAAAGCTGCAGTATATGACCAAAAATATGGAATATAGCATTGTAAATATGTCAGACCTGTTTTATAAATTAAGTGAATTAAGTGTCAGGCTTTGGAGCCAAAATCACAGAAAGTAGCAATAGTCAATATTTCAAAAGCAAAAAAATGAGAGTCTTTTTATATTTGGGACAGAAACCATATATTATGGGGGTGGTCCTAATCAATACCTTGGGAACCACTTAACTGCCATTTCCAAGTTCTTATAAGTTTAAATATGAAAATAATTCTTATCATTCCCTATATAGGAAGACAATTTGAATTTGGTAAAAGACTAAACAACTTAAAATATTCTATATCAACAAATACGTGTGTGCCATGAAGGTACCAAAGAGCTCAGTCACAACCAAATTTCTCTGAGTAGATGTATTCCTTGATGTCTAATCAGAGTTGCATAGAAAGGAAAATGGGAGGCTCCTTTCCTTTCTATTCTCTAGTCTAACATCAGACGGAATTGCAAATGATTCATGTAATGGTCAAAAGCCAGAAATCACAGACAAAACACAGTTCAGGACTTGATATACTTCTATCTGGGCACATCGATAATGGTGTTTGGCATGTGCAAATAACTCCAGAATTTATTGCATAGATTATGCTCAGCAGAGACTAGTGTAGCACACAGTGAGGTACACGATGATGATTAAAACACCTTCAGGTTAAGATGAATTACGTCAAAGATAAACTAATTGGTTTTTTAAAATAAATTTAATGAGACACTGATTTATTACAGTGCGTTAAGTACTTACATAACTTCAAGAAAATTTGCATTGCTCATTCAAAAATATATCTTACAAATACCTGTGATCATTAAGTTCAAACTAAGCATATCATTCCTTTAACAAAGAAAAAACTAATCTAGGTTCTATAATTACTTTAAGGACAAAGACTGTTTAGAACAAAGCCTAGCACATAATGAGTCTTTAATAAGTACTTGTTAATGAACAAATGAATGAATGAATGAATCTTTATCTCTTACCAGTTGGGTCTCGGACATCCTATTCGCCGAGATGTGTCCTTACAAATGAGGAGACAATTACAAGGGCATCTAACATATTTCTTCCCTGTTGGGGGGTTTTTGATTGGCTAGATAAGGGAAGAAAATGCAAACACAGCAAATTAACCAAAGTACAGATTGCCAAAGCTTGTTGTGTTTAAAAAGAAAATGCCTCCTTAAAACTTAGGCTCCCCATAGTGCTACCAAAGCACAGTTTAAGAAAAAATGCATCATAAATGGTTTTAAATAGCTCAAATGTTGGCAAGCACTCTATGAAGTTCTGCGGGCTACAGAGATTTAATTACAAAGGGCATATTTCAAAATTGGTTTGTACTGGCCTCTTAATACGGGAGGAATATTTAGTGCACACCAAGAGTTGTTTTCCCTTTAAAGTTCCCAGGACAAGGTGGTCTATCTGTATGGCCAGGTGCAAACACTCACTGAGCATTCCTTGCACCTATCAGGGAAGAGCGAGCTCAATAAGAACAGTAAGGAAAGAGGAGAAGATGACAAATTTGTACTTTTCTTAAACTTCTCACTGGAAAATAAGAAGTCATTAATTTTATGACATCTTTTAACTTTAAAAAAATTGTAATAATTCTTAATGCTAGAATTTCTTTTCTTTTTCTTTTAACTTTACAGTGAATTTAAAAGCAAAATAAATAACACCAAAGAAAACACTCCTTTCAGCATCAGGACTTAAGCCTGTTAAAATGAAGAATCTATGATGCACTGAGAGGAACAGTATGTCACTCCTGTGGCAGGCCTGCCAAAATGCAGAACCTGAATCTAATCATGAGGGAACATCAGAAAAACCCAAATTGAGGGACATTCTACAAATTATTTGGCCTGTACTCTTCAAAAATGTTAAGGCAATAAAAGACAAAGAAAGACTAAATTTCAGATTAAGGCAGATTAAAGAGACATGATAACCAAATACAACATGTAATTCTGGATTGATGCCTGGATCAGATTTTTTTTTTTAATGGATCAATTGAGCAAGCATTAATAAGGTCAAAAGATTAGATAACAATATGTATCGGGCCGGCCCCGTGGCTTAGTGGTTAAGTGAGCGCGCTCCACTGCTGGCGACCCGGGTTCGGATCCTGGGCTCGCACCCACGCGCTGCTTCTCCGGCCATGCTGAGGCCGCGTCCCACATACAGCAACTAGAAGGATGTGCAGCTACGACACACAACTATCTACTGGGGCTTTGGGGGGGAAAATAAATAAATAAAAAAAATCTTTAAAAAAAAAAAAAAAACAATATGTATCAATGTTAATTTCCTGCATTTGATAATTGTACTGTGATTATATAAGTTAATGTCCTTTTTTTAATTCATTTAGGAAATTCACAATAAAATGTTTTGGGGTAGAAGAGCACCATATCTGCAATTACCTTAAAAGGTTCTGAAAAAATACAATTTATTTATTTAGAGAGACAAAGCTAATGTGGCAAAATGTTAACATTTGGGGAATGTGGGTGAAGGGCCTATGGGAATTCTCTGTACTATGTACTATTATTTTTGTAACTTTTCTGTAAGTCTGCAACTTATTTCAAAAAAAAGATTAAGATAAGTTGAAGTAAATAACCTTGGTAGAAATATATAAAAATTAGCAATAAGCCTCCTACAATTTATTAAACTACATTATAGATAAAATCTGAATATCTAACATTCACAAACATCCAGAACGTATTGCTATACTATCTAAAGTATCAAGAAAACCAGAATTTGGGTTAATTTCTGTATATCCAAATTTTACCATTAAGTAAACATGTGCTTGGCAAATGACAAGATTTGTTTTTATATTCTATTCCCACCTCACTTCTAGATCTCAGATCCCTCATTTGTAAAACAAGGCAATTGACTGGAAGAGTTGATGCCCTGGTCCTCAGTGCCAGCCCACGATGTCACGTCTGGTCTGTAGTGAAATGCGGGGAAATGACATTGTCCACAGGCATAAGTTTTAATATTCTTACTTGGCAAAATAAACTTGTATGTGCCAGGCACTCTGCTGAGCACTTTATCCCTGTAATCCCAACAGCAACGCTCTGAGGTAAGTATTATCATTATTACACCACTTTACATGAGGAAACCACACATTAGAGAAGTCAGGTCCCCAAGGATATATAGCTACTGAGTGCAGAGCTAGGATTCGAACCCCAGTCTGTCAGCCTCCAAATCTCAGACTTATCATCAGTTATGCAGACAACTAGCTCCACTCTTTCTCCAGGACTTCTCGAATTTTCCATTAACTTGTCCTAGAAATCACTTCTCCTTTAACCTTAAATTCTACATTCTCTAAATCTTGCTAAAATTTGTCCATATTTTCTCACACACACACACACACACACACACACCTTACTTTCCTTCTATCTACTGAAATAAAAAGGACTTTTATTAGCCTTGTTTTTTATTTTGTTATGTTTTGTTTTTTAAATCTCCACAGGAATATCAGGTTCCTGGGCAGAGGTGGCTGCCCAGGAGAACAGATACCCTGTTTTAGGTGACAGGAGGAGAATGAATCACAGTAAAACTGCACAGGGAGAGTGACAGCGAACATAAGGGAACTCTTCTCTTGGACCCTGGTCCATTATATCTGTTCTTTTCAACCTAGAATTTCTCCATAGAAGCTCTTAGGTGCCTAAAACCTCTTCATTCATAAATTTAAATATCAAATTAAGTGGCAAACATTAGCGAGTCATATGTTAAAGCACTCCTCAAAGACTTTTTTTTCACTATTTTCCTCCCCTATAATGTTATTGAGTCCATATCAAGGCAATCTGATTAGATACTATTCATTTTCTCTAGAATATTATAATTATTTATATTTCTTCACTTAACAAGGGTAATAATAATATAAAAATTTCAGCACAATTTTCTTTTATGTCCTGAAGTAGTTTATTTGTAGCCAAATCCTATTGATCCCACATGAACTCACCACTTCTAAGTAGCCAGATTGAGGCTTTGGCTAAATCTGTATTGACTGAGATTCTTGCATAAACGACCTAGTCTTTTCTGTTTTCTTACAAGTGTAAATATAAAGCCTTAAAACTCCTTTTTTTCTACTGAGTAAAGAACAAAAGTTTGTATGGGTGGAGGAATAGGAGAAAAAACCAACACTAATATCAAATCCCAGGAAACCTTTAAGGCACTGGTATTATTTTTAATTGCTAGTTATGTCTAACAGCTCTTATTTGCTTGCCAACTCTAAAAAGAGCACTAAGGAAGTTAAGGCTAATTAAATTTACTAGTAAGTGTTCAACTCAAAAAGAAAATATCTGGTTTTGTAGGCATCACCTATTTATACAACAAAGTTCTTCAAACGATGCCCTTTTTAGAAAAAAATATTTACAGTGAAATATATTGCTTCATGACTTAAGGTTTTATTTTATGAGTTTTCTATAAAACATATAAAGGCCAGTATCCATGTTTCATGGTTCTTAGAGACACAATAATCACTGGTTGACTTCTTTCTGGACTTTTCTAAAGAGGAAAAAAATACAATACCAAAAATTAAATTAATATTTAATTGCAGATTTTGAGAAAGATTGCAATTTAAAAAATAAAGCCTAACTATGAAAGCAGAAATATATTTAATGTAACCAGTATACACTTTACCAGTTTATTACTTGAAACTGTAAAAATTTTACTTAAAATTTAGTTGCTCTTCCCAAAGTTCAGTTAAAAAACTGTGCCTTCAAATTTTTCAAAAATTTCACTAAATTAATATCAAGTAAATGGAATAAGTTACCAAGCTATTTGTAAACACTTTGGCACAGATGTCAACAATACACGCATCATCACAAAAGCCCAGGAAAACCACACTGCCATCCCACAGAAGTAAAGCAAGGTCATTTTCCACATAACAAGTACAAAGTCCACATCTGTAGTGAACATCAGTAAATTTTCATTTTAGTGAAAGTCAGAGTGGATTTAGTTGTGATATAGATAGATACTGAAGATAATTATAAATAACTGTCCATGGTCAGTTTCGTTTTAGAAACGAAGAGCCAAACGGCATTATATTTAAATTGACCATGAAATTTTTGTAATAGAGTTAGCTTTAAACACCTGGAGGCATCTTTGTATGATAAAAGAGAAATAGACAGAAGAAAGAAAGGATGAAAAAATATGGCCATGCCCGTATCCAGCCCACATCTACTTTCAAGTAACAGTATTGGCACGTTTCCTTTAAGGAGAAGATGTCAGACAAGAATTTATGCTTTTATTAATGGAAATCTCCACTTACCGTAGCTTCATTGCAAACCGTGCACTTAACCACATGCTGGTGAAGCTTGCCGTCTAAGTTGATCAGAGACTGGCACACACGGCAGTTTATTACTGGAATGCCGCTGGCATCTGGACTAGCAATGGCTGTATATGGAGGTGGGAGTTCCGCTGAAAAGATATCAGCCATGAATCAGAGTCTCAGAGATATTATGGCTGGTGTTGGAGCATACAAGCAATAGAAGTAAAGTAGAAACTATCAAAATTTCCCCTCATTCTTTTATTTACATTTTTAGAGCTATCCAACTTATCCTAGTTTTGGAGCATAAACACACACGGGACTATCTTGTGAAGTAGAATAATTCTTAACTGATAAAATCCAAATCATGTTTGCCTAGGTCTACCCAAATGACCCAGTTTCCTCTTACCAACCTATACTCTAAATATCCACTCCATTCCTACATGTAAATTCACAGAGCTTGTAATAGGAAATTGATGATTTACACCCAAAGTAAAAGTCTTACGCTAATGATCTAACAAGAAACAGAAATAGTCCATGAGAGCCAAGTTTTTAAATCGTTTATACATACACATAAATGTGTAGCTGTCATGCTCTGTTTATACTAGAACCAGTATAATAACTGCAGGCTATGACAAGAACAAAATAGGGTTTTGGTGGCAGTCAAGGAAAGACAAAAATGAAAATAAACTTATGAACATGGAAGAAAGCTAATTAGAACCATGCTAATTTCAGACACAAAACAAAAATAAATTTAACGATTATTAGTTTCAAATTTTTACTTAATATTAAAAATCTAAGGAATGCACTACAGTATTTATGGGTAAAAAATACAATGTCTAGGATTTAGTTTAAATACTCTAAGAAAAAAAAAAGAATGGGGAAATAGATGAAAGAAGAGTATCAAAATGCTGATAACTGATGAATATAATGACATAGTTCATTTTGTTCTTACTACTTTTGTGTGTGTTTGAAAACTCCCAGAATACAGAGATACACAGACACACACCCACACACAAACACACACACTGTTTTTTAAGAGTCCTAAGGTCGCCTGATGGGGTAAAGCGTGGAGGCGCAGTTTCAGAATCATATTCACCTACCGGAAGTATATATTTGCTTTGAAAGTCTCAGAAAAAGAATCCAGATATACTCCTCCAGAAGCGAGATCTCCTCCTCCGGGTCTCTAAAGGGGACTGCCTAAGCCTGTTCTGCAGCTATCTCTGTTACATGCACAGGAGGCCCTTTCAAGATAAGGTGTCGTCTTAGGACATCCAGAAAGGACTGCACCTTATCCACATGACTGCAGCCCCACTAAAGAGAACTGACATCTCAGGAGCCTCTGTGACGCTAGGAAACACAATCACAATAGCTAATCATGAACAGAGCTATTTTTGAAATAGAAATTTTCTATCCACTGGATTAGGTTCTGAACTCTGTGATATTTTAAAATGAGTTAGCACATAGCACATTATAGTCTGTCTAAAATCCACATATTACCACCTGGCATCACTGAGGTTTATCATGTAGATTTTTTCAGACTTGCACAGGATTAGCAACAAGTGTTATTCATTCAAGTGATTCATAATAAGCTGAATTTCTGCAGCAGCCAAGGCTCTGAAAGAGGCCACTTTGAAATGACAATATTTGCACATTTCTGGGAGGCTGACACCAGAACACTGCCAAACACTGAACTTGAAGCTATAAATGTCTTAAATTATAAAAGTAGCTTTAAAACCTTGAAAGAATTTGAGGTTGATCCAGAGTGACCTGCAATGTATTAATCAAGAAGACAAAAACAGGTGAAAGGAACAATGAGTCAACAATATATCTGAGCCCTTGCAATTTGCGGGTTACTGTATCAGATCTCCATCAAGAAGGTATTGTCCTGGGAAAGAGAATACATGCCTCACTAGAAACTCAAGACACACTGCCTGGTGTGTAACAATAAATATTGTTTTTAGTAATTATTAGAAATGGTATTATAATAAAAGTTAGTTTCCTCTCTTGCCTTTCTCTTGAGTTATAAAGTAACACGAAGTAGTTCCCATAATTACAGGTCTCCATCTTACATAGTATGACAGAAAAGAAATGTAAAGATAAGACAATATCACAAAGAAAACAAGTGCATTGGGGGTGAGGAGAGGAGGCCACACGTTGCAACTCAAAGGACAGTAAAATCCAGGCAAAAGCACTGCTCAAGGCAGAAAATTTCAATGGGTGATCTAAAGAAGCATTTGAGGCGCATCAGAGTCAACAAAACCTTGTGAATTTTTCCTCTAAGATTTGCACTACATAATTTTTAATCTACCAAAAAAAAAGAAAAGCCTTCTATGACAAAAATATGCCAGAATCTACTCTTTCGGAGGCTTGGGAAGTGGAGGGAGGAGGAAAGAATGATGAGTGAGGATTAGGAGTCTAAGCTAGCGGAGACCATAAGCTCCATGAGGTCAGGGTCATGTCTGACTTGTGCAGGACTGATTCACCAGCTCTTATCATTGTGTTGGGTCTATGACAGATGCTCACTAAATATTTATTGACTGCAAGGATGAATGAATGAATGAGTGAGTCACGGAAATTTATCAGACACATCTGTTTCTCTTGAGAAAATAACACTAAGTATATTACTGCCACTCTCCATGCAGAGGAGCTAGGGTCCTAGCAGGGGGAGTGCAGCTTGACTGAAAAGGGGGCTCTCTTCTATATAGAAGAATACCCTCTCCAAATCACGCCCTGAAAGAGGTGAGGCAGCTAGGGGACACTGGCTTGGCCCACCACATAGATGGAATCAATCCAAGAGATCAATAGAATGACAGATGTTGCAGCCTAATTGCTCCACCAAAGCGTGCTTTCAGGCCTATCATTTCAATTTTCTGTCCATTACTTCTGCCCTCAGCTGATATAGAGATATTTCTGGTACTTTGACCCCAAGGAAACCTTCACCTATAACTCTATCTCCTCTTATAAGCGAATTTTAATTCCAGATATTTATTCCACAGTTAGTAAACCTACAATAAGTAGCAACTTAGAGTGTTCCTTTTGTCTTTTTTCACATTAAAACGGTCAACAGATCACCAGTATCACCACTATTTTAAAATTCTGCCCTGCATACAAAGTCCACTGTAATTTTAGAAATAGGAATTATTAGATATTAAGAGTCACAAAAATTCTTCATTTTGGAAGAGATATACTTTTTATTTAAACAATAGTCATTTGCTCTATGGGGTTGGCCTAAATGAAAAATCTTTTTCCTCCGTGTGAGCAATATTTGATAGACCAGTAGTCCTCAATCCTGAAAAACTCCCTCAAAGATCCAGAATTGTACAATATTAGAAATTCAAGCAATCTTAAATTCAATCATCTGATTTCTTCATCTCACAGAAGAGAAAACCAGAGCCCAGAGATTCTAACTTTGGAACAGACTTGTGCGTCCCACTTCAGCAAAGCCAAGAGCTGACTCCTCTCTCAGAGGTCTCGCCACAGGAACAGTTGCCTCTCTCAATGAATAATGATTTAATACAGGGAAAAGATGTAAGGACGAACGAGGATTCTGTAGAAACACTTAAACAAGAATCACATCTGAGTTAAAGGGGATTAGGAGGAGGAGAAGGAAGAGTGAGGGAAAATAAAAAATAGAGCAGATTACGAAAAAGGAATCAATTCATGATAACAGAAACTTCATAGAAAAACTGAGATCCTTAAAGAGACAAGATGAAAGAATCTGAATCGCAAGGCATACATAATGGTCCTCCTGAAACACTCACAAGGAACCATTATTACTCCATGAACCCACAAGTGATCAAATTACATTTTCCCATCACAAACATTGACCTAATGTATCTATTTTATGCCAAACAGCCCCTCCGTTCTGCTGATTCATCCCGGTGTATTAATCCATACTTCATTTTTTACCAGATATATCCTCCAGCATTTTAAAGGTTGAAGTTGTTTTGCTGGATTGCGCTGACCTTCATTATCTCAGTTATTCCTTGATAAGTCTCTTCAACAGCAATGTTTTCCAGTTTACTTCACTTACTTCACTAATAGATTCCTTATACTCAGCCCTTCAGGCCTCGTAAAGACGTATCAAAATTGAAAAATGACATCAGATTAGAATGAGAGATATTTTAGGATACTACGATTACAGGACGAGCAAGAAAAGCAAAAAGGACCAGCCAGGGAGGAAAGGCCTGGCTTTCTCTCTTCAGGATCTTGGTGGAGAGTATGGGTTAGGGACAGGGTGAGCGCAGCTGCGATGGGATAGCGACTTCAGCGTAAGCCCTCTCCAGCCCAGTTCAACAGAGAGAAGGGGAAGACCACCTTCTGTTCCTCCCCTCTGAAACCAAAGAAATAATACTATCCAGGAGACTCTTGGGTTCTCCTAGAACTGTGACGTCCCTGAAAGATCCATCTGGCCGAAGTTAGACTGGAAAGTAATGTGCTAGCTCCCGCATAACTGAGTCTCAGCTCCAGTCCACACTTCTCTGGTTGTCACGCTGGAGCTGGAACTCGGCAAACCACATTTTGGCTTTGCCAGCGGGCTGCAAGTCATGTCTGTTAACAGGTGGTGATAAAAGGAGCCCGCGAGGTTGGAGGAGCAAGAAGAGACTGGCAGCCCTCTCCCCAGGTGTACAAAGCCTTTCCCCAGAGCCCAGAGACGTTAGCACCAGCTGCCCGGTGCCTCTCAGAAGTCGTTTCAGTTCTGTAGGACTCCTCTAAATTACTAAATTTTAATAATTCCAATCTCTTCCCTTTGTTCTCTCAGCCCTAGAGGTGGTAGCTGCTTCCTGCATTTGATACCTACTTGATACCTTAGAGTAATATTTTTACCTTTTAGTTACCTAGTTAACAACTTTATACCCAATTAACAATTCTTTCTATTATATTCTATTGTGTGGTTTCTATCTTCATGTCCTAAATGAAGATACAAAACTCACACCAGGAGTAATCTCGGGAAATAGACCCTCAAAAATGGGATGGGAGGGGCCTGCCCAGTGGCGCAGCGGTTAAGTGCGCACGCTCCGCTTTGGTGACCCGGGGTTCACAGGTTCGGATCCCGGGTGTGGACCAACTCACCACTTGTCAAGCTATGCTGTGGCGGAGTCCCATATAAAGCAGAGGAAGATGGGCACGGATATTAGCCCAGGGCCAG